CTTTAGCTTAATCTAGGATCCTTCNCCCTCTCTCTCTCTGTCACACGGGAATCATGTCAAATCTATGTTTTTGAGCTTCGAGTAGCAAGATGTATTTTTAAAATAAGTTTCCACATACCCTGCTTATTTGAATAACACTGTGGCATCTGATAGAATAATGGCTGATAGCTCAATAGGTTTAAAGTCTCTCCTTGCTGCAATGTAACGTAACCTTTATTTCGATTTGGACAGATAAAAAAATGGGGAAAGATTTTGCATACCCCGTTTATTGAATAACACTGTGCCTTCTGATAGACTAATGACTGATAATTTAATAAGTTTAAAGTCTCTATTTAGTACTACGCTTTATCTCCTTTACACAAGTTACAGCGATTGAAAATTTCGTAGATAAGGTTTTACAAACACGGAAGTTTAGATACGAGAACAGTGACTATACAGTCACCAAGGTTTAAGGTGTCTTTTCACCTGAGTGAAACTTTAAACAATTCCCAAAGGTTATTCTGGATTGAAAGTGAGCACTCTACTAAAGTGAGTATTCGGTATATATTCTAGCAAAGTCAAATTGGTATTTTGTTGTTATTGACACCGAATAGAATGACACAATATTTACACAGAAAGAACATTGCTTTTCATACGCAATGAATTTAGATCATTCAAGCGCAGGCTAAACGTTTGAATGTATTTATTTTATTTGAAACTTCATTTCATTTTGGTATAGCCACAGTTGTTGTGAAGGTATGTTGTTTTCAACACTGCAATCATATATGTGTAGCTTTCTGCTTTACCAAACACAAACATGTATTTCATTAATTCCACATGAACAAAAAAGGAAATGGATATTCAAAAACTGTGTAGAACTCTTATAGATATACTAGTAGAATTTAGACGCGATCCAGGAGAATATACTGTATATATTTATATATGAAGTTACATGTATATAAACCAGCTGTCACAGGGTAAACGGTAATGTGCGAGGACACGCTAAGGTGTGAAGACGTATTGTTCGCTGCAGCGTCTATGACTTAATATCTGGGGAGGCGGAACTACTAATTATAGGCAGGGGTGCCAAAAGTCAGTGTCGCACAAGTCACACGATAGGTGTGTATTATGCTTGACTGTTGTTTTGCCAGGCGAAAACAATCATACTCTCGTGGCATTTTTTTTTCCTACCCTCATACGTTTTTCATCGTTTTATCACTTAAAGTTAAAGAGTGAGATAAATTTTTTTCATAATGAATAAGGCTAAAACACATAAACATCTTATCAAATTAATGGTTTAGTTAGAGTGGACTTCGATGATAAATGGTGACGCATAACGCCTTAGATTGGTCAGGTTTGGCTGGTCACAAAAAGTCCCCGAGATACAGTAGACCTATGGTAGAGAATAATAGGTTCGAAAACTAAAATGAAAATTTCCTGGACAAGTGCGTCTTTATTGTATCGTGAAACAAACACGCACACAAAACACACACACACACACACACACAACGTATTTCATATTCAGTACGACTGCAATATTTCACACCCAGGCTCTTTCTTACTGAAACACGTGCGCGCACGCGCGCACGCACATCGTGATCGTAACGTTACGTCCAGTGAGAGCCCACAGGAGGGTACTTATTGACCAGTCCACCACAATAAATCTCGGTGTGCCCATCCCTGTGCCCGGCTGGGCAGTACATCGTGGAGATAATGAACACATTTATATAGCGAACTGTCAACATTCTCTCTACAGAGGATTTATACATGTGCGAGTATGTTCATTTGGAGGACTCATATGTACACCCTTGACCAATGTCCACACAGGCTTAGATATATTGCCATCAGGTCTATACTCTTCTGGGGGTCAGCGGAGTGTTATCATTTAAAATTCCTGCTGAACCTTCAGTAGAAAATTTGTCAAAAAATAAGCCATAAATAAGCAAGATAAATAGAAGTGAAAAATGAATATGTGACTAAGATAGAGAGTACCTATGCTGAACGATTTCAGCTGTGTTATATATTTTTCTTGATAAGAGGACTGATTTTAATGCGAAACATTCAGTATGGCTAAAAATCTACAGGTGGAATGAATATTGGTTCCGAGTGGACTTTTTCCCGACCAAAAGGGGGATTCTAACCCCCTAGCGCACGGGTATACCACTCTAAAAATTCTTGCTCCATCCCACTTCATGAGAAAAAACTCGAATTCATTGGGCAATATATAACTTGTACACTGCAGTTTAGAGGTAAAAATCAAGGACTGAGCAAACTGCTCTAAATCTCAGATTAGCTCTGAGAATTAAAAATAGTTTTGTAGATACAGGGTTATCAGTAATTTATGCGTCAGTTTTTATGATTCTTTAGCCTGTCGTCTGATCGATAAAAGTTGGAATCACCTAATAAGAGAGCTAATCAACAGGCATACAAGACGATATAAGGAAGTATTTCACACAGAAAGTAAAGAGCAAGATTTGTATGTATGGGTGGATGTAAAGTGCTTACTTTATGGAAAAATGGTGTGTGAAGCCGGAAAGAGACTGCGTTGAAACACAGATCAATGTTAAAATTATCAATCCAAATATCTTTATCTCTCTGCATGAGGTTCAAAACTACATCATATCCCCTCGTACGTGTATAGGATAACCTCGTATCAGTGTCTTAGACCCCATTTCCAGAGATTAGATCGATCTACTTTAGATCGACCTAACTCCCTGGGGGTTCACTCTAAATAGCTGTCAGCCGGGCGGACACGAAAGTTAATTACCCCCTTACAGCTTGTAGTAGGCGGGACGGACATTTAACCCGGATTATCTGACAGTAATCTAGTGAGACTCCCCACGGGGATAGATCGATCTAAATGTCTGGGAATACGCCCTTACTTTGAGAAATACCCACTGGTTTGAATTTTGATATCACTTTTGCTTCATGTCCGTGTTGTTTACATAGGTTCGAAATGTTTGGGTTGTCTTAGCTTATCAGTTCACCACCGACCCTTAATAAACGAGAGAAAACGGAGGACCGCAATGGCAGGTTTAATAATTAAATTTCAACAAATATTGAAAATTGGCACACATATCTTTAAGTATTTGGTCCCGTGTTTTGCCTAATTATCATTGATTCTATTTCATAAACATGAATTAGGGACGATGACAAATGTGTAAAATAAGGGCATATATAGTGGGACACTGTGGCATATTTATGCTTTTGACCTTCATATCTCTCTGTGAGCTGTACGGCTGATCCAGGGACGCAAACATGCATAAGCACGCACAGACACACATAGACGTGTGCACACGTGCACACAACATAACATGACCATACACACATATACACACATATGCACACACACACACACACACACACACACAAGCACACCAGAAAGGCACACTTTCTCATACGCGTACATGTTTACCCAGACGCAGCAAACCCCATATAGTAGTAGATAAAGGGTCATGAGGGTAATGATGACGGTAAGGGGGTGGGGGGGGGGGGCATTGTAGACCTCTAGCTTCTCTCCCACACTTTCAAAAACAATAGTTCCATATCTTAGAATACAGGCAGTATTTAAGGCATCCGTGCCCTCTTCCCACGAGTGTCACACAAGTCCACAGATATGTTGATGACACATTGAGATAATTCATAAGACCAATTTAGTGACCATTCCATCAGGGTGCACTCCTGTACATGCTCAGTCACCCCGCCGCATAATGGCCCTTTGTCATGTACTCATATTGAGCGCTTTGTTTTAGCATGGTCAGTCTGGCTGGCCAACCGAGACTGACCGCTGTGGGACACCAATGCCAGTGACCAATGTGGGTGACCAATGTTAGTGACTGGATTATGTCATTACAATGCAGAGGCAGACCCACAACATTCAGAGTGGAAGTCATTCTCTCTCCCCTCCCCCCCCCCCCCCCCCCCCCCCCCTCCGTTAAAGAAATGTTTGGTAAACACAAATATGATGCAGTTTGGGACATATAGAAACGAATACAAATGTTTTACGGTGGATCTCGGATCTTTTCTCTTTCACCCTTCAGTTAGGGGTGGGGGATTCAATCGGCTATGTCATATTGGGAAAAGAGGGAGGATCTCGAACCTTCATCCGTTAGACCCTAGCTTTGAGTAGAGTGAGACTATCCGCTCTGTCTGCTGCTGTGAGGGCATATGCACAGGATGAGGACAACCAGTTAAGAGATATTTTCTGACAGTCTTCCGAATTATATTTGTTGATCCATCCTCCATTTTGACCGTCATCAGACAGAAAAAAAATTAGATTCCCATCAATGTAAACTTGAAAATCTGACCATCTTCCGATGAACCCAGAAGGCCTCTATCTGCCCCTGCAGTTACACATAATCGTGAATTTTTTTAATAATTGAACTGGGTATCAGTAGACTGTGCTAGAAAGATGAGTACTGGTACATGTACATATTGACTTTTTTATTATCGCTATGACGAAATGAAATTCAAACTCTGCGACAGCCAAGGATTCACTAACTGCTGTACCTGTCTCTGTTCAATCGCACCAAGAACACTCGCACCTAGAAAACCGTTCAGAGAGCACATGAATTCACCTAGGCAGCTTTAATCTCTTTATTAACTAATTATGGGATCGTCACAAAAATCTAATTACATAGCCGCTTTTTTTTACATAAACTGATTTACCAAAAATCAAAATTGAATCAGGTTGTTAACTTTAAAAAGATCAAATGGAAAAAACAAGACCTCCTTCATGGAGGAAATAACCCAAGATAGGGAGACCTTCATTTTAACTAAATAGTGAAAGGAAGCTTAAGTGTTAGCGCTCAATCGACGATTATGCACACGCGGAAAGAAGTTTTGTAATTTATAGACTATCCCTTTCTTGACTTTTTAATGCGAATATGTGTTATGTATATGATTTGTTTTCCTAATTCGCAATAGCGTTTGAATGCGGAAGAAAAAACATACCCCACGGCTCTGCAGTGATGTAGTGATTTGACATCTTGTATCATCTATTCAACAGGTGCGTTGTATTGTTGAAAGAGCTGATGATTGACAGCCCCAATGGCACTGAGACCTTTGACTGCAATCTTCGCGTCTGTTCTGCTGCTGGGTATATCAGGTAAGTAGAAAGTGAAAGAGGAAGTTTATATATGTGTGTGTGTGTGTGTGTGTGTGTGTGTGTGTGTGTGTGTGTGAGAGAGAGAGAGAGAGAGAGAGAGAGAGAGAGAGAGAGAGAGAGAGATTGATTGACAAATAATGAAAAAAAGGTGTTGAATATTCAGGAAAAAATGACTGACTGTGAAATATTTATGTAAAATACATGGTATTCACAAGTTACAGATTCTTCGAAAATAAGTTTTAAACATTTACCTGACCTCCTTAACATGGTAGGTGCCACACCTATCTAATTAATGTAATTTCATATATTTTGGAAAATCTTTATCCACCCTACTATTACCATCAGATTGGACATAAACATAGTATTTTTAAGTGCTGAAAAAGGTTGTTTTGATAGACCTACGTGTAAATCATTAGTCCACGACCCAAACATGTACATTCCCATGCTTATAGGAAAAAAGGCATTAAATAAACTGAATGATTACTGATAACGCACACGTAAAAAAAACTTACATTGTTTTTTATTTGGTAAATTATTTCAATTTTCTATTGTACTGATGTGCGGGTCGTATATGGGCGAAATATACACACTGATTTAAAGAAAAGTAAAGCAAAATCAGTGTTTTAAATTGAAGCTGGGAAAGAACTCGGCGGCTCAATTATCATTTTATATTAATCAATATATTGATGGATCACCACTAAAATCTTGTGGGTTCTAAAGTAACATTTTTCTTATCTACCCTTAACATTTTATCAAAAATCTGTAGATAACTATTCAGTGAGTTAACTACAGACCAAGAAAACCTTGGTGGAAGTAAAATTAACTCTTTGTGCAAATTTTTGGGCGAGTTTCCCTGTGAGTGGTAGTTATAGATTCAATATTGTGAATGCAATGAAAACTAGAAAAGCACTCCGAGAGCGAAGACCTCCGCCAAGGCAGCATTTTTTTTTAATTATTATTGATTGATTGTTGATCCAGATCACCACCCAAAAAATAATCACTTCTAAGTTAACCCATTTCTGACCTACCCTGAAAATTCCGTGGAAATTCATCCATAACTTTTTGAGTTATGTTGATGACAGACAGACAGACAGACAGACAGACAAACAAACAAACAGGGGTGAAAACATAACCTCCTTGGCGGAGGTAATAACAAATCTCAATGATATTAATCACCAAGTCATTTTCACACTTTTCAGAGCGGAGCCTTGCCTTACAGATAGACGTTATCCCCGATATCGAGGTCAATCAAGGGGACACCTTTACACTGTGGTGCAATGTGACAGGTGCGCCGTCTCTGTCTCTTGGTTACTTCCTTACGTATACCAAGAACGCTGTAGAATGGTGTATAATATATACATATAGCGGGTCATTTCTACAATTTGACGGAGAGTGTATAGCTCGTTATCCTGCGTTTAGATTTCGAGTGGTACCTACAGGCTCCACGAACTTTGAGTTCTCCATGCCGGGAGCGGCTCTGACTGATGCCGGGGACTACAGGTGTAAATTTGCCCCCCGCAACGAAGCTCAGAGCACCTCTGAGATTATAAGAGTAACAGTACGAGGTAATGTCTTGTCAAAATTAATCTTTGAATTTGTCTCCTCTATTTGATGCATTAGTTGTCCTGCATGTTATGTCTATAATATTTTTGGTCTTTTTAGCTCTTTAAGAATGAGTCAGGACATTGGCAAATCACATTTAACCTGAATTGTTTGGCTGAATAGGCCATGATTTTTTCAAATTAAACTTTTATCTATATCTGCGCATTTAACCTTGCTGCTACACAAAACCCCTTTTCCCCTAAAAAGACATCTGCTTAAACCAAAATCATTTCAGACGAAACGACTACAAAGAATCCTACCACTGTTCAACCGACAACTGCAGCTCCACCTACAACATTGTCTCCCACTACAGTGGCGCCGACTACAACAGTTCAGACGACAACAGAAGCGCCACTGACTACTACAGTGTCGCCACCTACGACCACAACAACACCGATACCAACAACCACTCAGTCAACTACTGTCTCAACTACGACAATTCCGCCCACAACCAAACCTAGTACAGAAAGTACCACAACTACCCAACCAACCACCCAAACGTGGACGTCATACAACACAAACGGAACAGGGGACATAATGACCAGTCGTCCCCACATTGCCATTTCCACTACAACTGCCCAAGAGGATGTGACCACGACGGTTGATCCACATGAAGGACACGATCACTCGAACTGGACAGGAACTGTGAGGGCCGTTCACACTGTAGGTAAGTAGTGGAATCTGGGAGGAGAAAATTGAGTTTCTCTAAGACTCCTTGTCACCTAGACACCATCGAACTACGTAGATAGATCCAACTCTTCGGGGACGCTCGCTGAGTGCAATCAGCTTAGATGTCTTGCCAAATGGCACGCCTCTCCTTGTTTCCAACGTACGAGCATTAATCTCCAGCTTTTATGTATTCCACTCAGCGCCAGTTGACCATTCAGTTAAGCTGGTTGCACTCAGCGAGAGTCCCAGCAGAGTTGACGAGATCTGCGTTGCCCGATGATGTCTATGGGATACATGTGTAAGTTTTTTTTATAAGACATTGCTTGAATGAAATTGTAATTGCTTAAATAAAATTGTTAGTTGGTAAATTTAAAAAGTACAGGTGTTCTTTGGTGCCATTGTTTTATAAATTCTGTGTATTATATGTATTATATTATACATTACATATGTATTTCTTGTGAACGAAACCTCGATTAATTACCATGTAGAAAACATATTCATTGCTATTTAATATGCATTCGTTAAATTACACTCAGTAACAAAAAATAATTTTTACTTTGAAAAGTCTACGGGTGTTTATTTTGAAATGAAAATAAAGATTTCCTTGACTATACTCCCCCAGAAACCACGGGCGCTATAGTGGGCGGTGCTGTCGGAGGTATTGTGCTGATTTCCATTGTGATCATAGGAGCGGGAATCTGCTTCTATCGGGTGATTTACTTTATATTAATATTTCTTAAGTTAATACGACTTACACACACTGGACAAAAGAAGTGTCACCCCCTACCTCAGAGTAATAAAAATAGGCAGATTTTGGGTACTTATAATGCCTGGTCTACTTATAGTGTGACTAATGAGTATAAAACCGCTATACCATGGAATTGTATTGTTGGTCTTGTACATGTACAGCAAATGTTATTCCTGTCTTCCTCCAATATGGCAAGATACAGGCAATTATCTAACGGTTATAGGTGCAAGTTATTAACCTGAAGAGGCAGAATATAAGCAATGTCAGAATATCGATACAATTGAATTGTTCAGTCAGAACCGTGCAGAGGGTCTGGTCTCGGTATAGAAACACTGGATCAAGAGACAAATTGCCTCAGATGGGTCGTCCAAGAAAAAAATACTGGCCGTGAAGACCGACGACTGATTTTGATGTCCAGGTTGTCAAAGTTCGACACTGCTTGTCAGTTGACAACACAGTGGAACAATTTCACACATAAGAATGTGTCTGTGAAAATTGCTAGACGTCGGTTACATGCTCTGAGAGTGTACAGCAGGGTAGCAAGACTGAAATATCTTATATCGTTACAAAACAGGAAACGTAGAATAAACTAGGGTCAACAGGATCTGGAACTGGACAGTTCATGACAATTGGTCCTATATATTTTTTTCTGATGAGTGTCGCTTTGGTCTGACCTCTGATGACAGACGGGTGCTATGCTGGCAAACTGCTGGTAAAGCATTTGAACCATATGCACTGAATTTTCGAACCCGGAGCAGCATATTCATCATGGTGTGGGACTGCATCAGCATCCATGGCTTGGGCGAATTGATAGTGTTTAATGGAAACATGAATCACTAGAAATATATCGATGTTTTGGAGTCAGGCTTGCTACCATCTATTACTAACATGTTTGGTGACAGGAATTATCCATTTGTTCACCAGGATGACAATGCTCCTTGTCACAGGCCCAGAGCAGTTGATGATTGGTTTGACCAACAGGACATTCGCAGGGTGATGTGGCCTGCCCAGAGTCCGGATGCAAACATAATAGAAAATGTGTGGAATGATATGTCAAAACTTTTCACAAATGCCCGTCTTACCAGCAGAGAAACTCGGTTATATTCAGTGTTTCATGCTTAGGCCAGCATAAGCCCTGAACGCATCAGACAATTATATGAAACCTTGCTTCGTAGACTGGCACCTATTATTAGGTCACGTGGCTATGCCACTAAGTACTAATTTTGGACTTGAAACTGCATATTTTGGTAGAATGTATATTTTGTTCTCATTTTGTGATTTTTTGTGAAATATGATGTTAATAAAATGATGCCAGGAGCATTTCATTCCACAGTCATTTATTTCCCCCATAGTATTGGCTCAGTAGGGGTGACACTTCTTTTGTCCAGTGTGTGTAGTTATTTTTTTTTTTTGCACAAAGTCAAAGTTCTTGTCGTACAGTCACAAGATCATTTCTATTTTGGAACTGGAGTTAACACTTATTTTTTAATTTCGATTAATCTGTCCGTTAAAAGAAAAATAATAGGTGTTCTTCATTTATTTTTTAGTTATTTGTTTGCATTTTATACTTCCAGAGGAAGATAAACAAATTAAAGAGACGCACCACTGCTTCCAGTAGACGCAATTTAACTGACTGCAATGGGGGATATGAAGTTCCTGTTTCCAACGAAGAAATGGTGAGTTTATAAATTTTAAATACATTTACGCCACGGCCCTCGTAAAATAATTGCGGTCAGAATTAAGCACGAAGATTTAATGCACGCGTGATAAGTGCTACAAGTTCATACAACATATTTTAGCACATATGACTTAAATGGAGTTAGGGTGTACTACATGTATGCGCTTTACAATACCTGCAAAGTTATTATTCTTTCAAAATGCGGAAAAATCCTCAAAAGTACCTGATGTCAACTATACTTCCAAAATATCAGTAAGACTATGGTGCATTTAGAACTGAAGCATTTAACCAGTCAAGGTATAGAGACATCGAATCCAAGTGCATCTAAGAGACCTATGTCACTGCTTCAGGACACGCTTTTCTTCTTCGTATGTCGACAACAACGGTATGTTCCCTTTATGTGTCCTAAAGATGAATTAAAACATGGTGGTAGTCATTAATTTGGTATTGTATACTGTATACTTGCAGGCGCTAGGTTACAGCTCTCTGCCCAGGCCGGAGAACCGCGCCCTGAAGAACGTGTACGCTACTATAGGAGACGAGGAGGGCTACGAGGTTCCCATTTCAGCTATAGAGGTAACTATATTGATTTTAAGAGGTGTCCTCTAGATACATTTCACTCTTCATGTCTTTCTATCTTTTTTACGGAAATACGCTCTCTTGCTGAACTTTAATTCATTTCATGTTCACATTTTAATGGGTTTTTTTAGTATTTTTGATCTATATGTACATGAACATGTATTTAAGTCATGAGTCTGTTCATGTCAGGTAAGCATAGTATGGTGTATTGTGAACTATTATGCACAATTCTTCTTTATTCTAACCAGCAACCAACTTATGCCAAGATGCAGCCTCGTTCTAAAGAGTTTACAATGGCGGACTTGAAGCTGGTGTCAGAGCTTGGTCATGGACATTTCGGCACAGTGTATACAGCAGTGATTAAGACGCAAACCAGCTCCCTCCCTGAAGGAACGCAGGTGGCCGTCAAAATGCTGAAAGGTGTGTGAAGAACGATTTACTTTATTCAATAGTATAGAAAATCGAAATTGTCAGATGATCGGGGCGCTTTCTACAGCGTTGCATCACTTAACACAGTCACTTATGTAAAAAAACTTGTTAACGAGCAGCAAACAAATATCTAATGACTTAGTGTAAGACATGCGTTGAAATGAAATAAATAAAAAAATTCTCCTGGGGCGAGGCTGGAGTTATGGAAAATTCCAGAAAAAGTTAATTCCTTGTTTAACCAGGGCCCAATTTTATTAACACTGAATGGCGCTATCCTATTGGTAACACTATCCAATGGATAAAATAATTTTTCTCTGGACATTTATCCTGAGGATAGCAGCCATTTTTATACACAGGTAAACAATTTTAGAAACTTAAATAAGTATCTAGCGTTCAGAAATCATCACTTTACCAACAGGTATACTGACCAGAGGATACGATTCCGTATAATGGGTAGTGTTATCCAGAGGATTGCGCTATCCAGTGTCGATGAAACAGGGCCCATGCTAAGGCAAGAGAACGGTGACATGTCCCCGCATTAACGTTATGAGTCACGTAGTTTTAAGAATGTGCCTTTATAACAGTTGGGGGGGGGGGGGGGGTACTAAAATTCAACATATTAAAAAAAATTCTTATAGGTGAAGCATCTGACACGGATCGCAAGAATTTCCTGAAAGAAATCGACATAATGGATTCTATGCCTAGCCATGAAAACGTGGTGCAGCTATACGGGTATTCCTCAGCAGGTAGGACTTTCGAATTTGTCTCCGTCGAAGTGCACTGTAATCAGCACGTTTTTGCATTCTGTTAGTCATCAAAGCATACTTTTTAGCGGAACTTTAACAACGATTTTCACTATCAATTAAAAAAGAAATATTCTGATGGAAATGCATCTGTGTAGTTTGTTAATAATATGATATGATTAGCCATTTCGCTTTTCACACTAACCAAAAGCTTTGTAAAGTATAGCTTTAATTAAGTGTAGAAAGTAAAAAAATTAGCTAATAACATAAGAAATATTTCAAAGAATTTTATTCATGAGGGTTTCCGTCTTGTTCTTTAAAATTTTCTCTGTACTGTCGCTGTTTGTAGGTATATATAAAATATTTGACTTCGTTTGTGCAGGTTGTCCTTCGGCTTTCCTCGTGTTGGAGTATCTTTCTCTGGGCAATCTGAACACATATCTCCGCAGCAGTCGAGGTTTGGACGCCTTTGGTAACATCGGGGACGCCACGAATATTCTGTCTCTGGAAGACTTACTTCACTGTGCTCTTGACGTGGCCAGGGGGATGGATCACGTCTGCAAATATGGGGTATTTATAATAATAATAATAATAATAATAATAATAATACTGTATATTCAGCCAATCACGTAAAATATATACATGTACAAAAATGAAGTAAAATATATGGAAATACGAAAAAGAAAAATGATGGCAAAAAAAATATTTAAAACCTCTCACTCCCGCTGTTTCTAAAGCCGCACATGTTTATTAAGACCAAGGTAAGTTTGGAATATGATCGTCGCGGAAATCGTACAGCATGAACGGGATGCATTACTGGGTGGGTGCCTGATAAAGATTTAGTATTCTCTACCACAACAGGTAAAACACAATAGGTAAAAACCAACGTTGTGTATGACGTGCACAATTCTTTTTTTTTTTTTTACATCACTTACAAATGCCACAATTAAAACTGCAAGCTTACGTTTTAACGCCTAATTTAAAAAATGAATTTACCAGAAATCTGTCAAATATATATGAGTTCATTGATGATGTGAAAAGTATTTTCTATTCATTCTTTTATCAGTACCTCCATAGAGATCTAGCGGCAAGGAACATATTAGTTAGCGACAAACGTGTCTGCAAAGTTTCTGACTTTGGACTTTCTCGAGACGTAATAGATTGCCGCGCATACTTGAGCTGCTCTAAGGTAAGGCTAGCAATATTATCATATCCATGGCCTGGTTTACAAATACATATCAGACATATAGCTCGAAGATTTGGTATTAACTTTAACACCAAAATTAAAGTCTACTTTAAACCAAGGTAAATAAATAGTAGTCAAATTAAATGAAATGTTGCGTCTGTTTTTAACAAGAAGGACGTGGCTAATGGGTAAAAACTAAGACAAATACTTACTTCATTTGAGTGGACTTCTACAATAAATACTGAAGAAATTCATAATTTTGGTCCAGATGTTTACCCATTAATGGTGCTAAGGTTTTTGTGTAGTACTTAACCTGAAATTGACTGATAGCTTACACTGGAAAATTGCACTTCATACCCTCTGATTTCACAAGGATGTACAGTAAACAGAACTGAAAAAAAAAGACAACAATTTTGAAATGGACTACTAGCAACCGCTGTGGTCAGAGAGTGCACTTCAGATAATCTTCATATAAAACCTTAACCTCTTTTATGTTATCTGACTGTAAGGTCGTATATGTTCATCTATAAGTCATCGAGTTAGATTGAAAATATTGTTTACTGTGTTGCATAGATATGTACTTAATTAGGCAGTTCTCTCCATTGGAGATAGTCATAATAAATCCAAAGAAATAAGTTCAGTTATTAATTCTCCAATAAATTCTCTTAAAGATATGAATTCTACTTTCTTTACACGGACAAGAGAAAAAAAGTTTAAAATGATCGATAAGAAATGACATTGGACTCCTGTAGATTTGGGACTACAGATTCCTGTAGACGGTCTTTTAGACTGTCTGGAAATAGTCCAGTTCTGTCGGCTTGTAAACATAACATATATCAGCCCTGTATCTCATCTTTCAGGGCCCTCTCCCCTTGCCATGGATGGCTCCGGAGTCCATATCAGAGAGCATCTATACCAGCCAAAGTGATGTCTGGGCATTTGGGATAGTACTGTGGGAGATAATGACACTAGGTACAGTCTTATTGTTTATACATGTATTTACCGCAGTCGCCACTTTCAGAGGAGCACCATACAATAATTTTTAAATATATATTTACTGTACAGGCGTATTTTTCGTTGCGTAAGTTTGATAAAAAACACAGGTATCTCCTATTTTATTTCAAACTGGATGCGATCTATTTCACTTCAAATCGTGTGATGTGTCTAGTGGTATCGAACATTCAAAGGGGGACTAAACTGAAAAAAGGAAATGCGACACACAAGCATTGAGACATTTATCAAATGAACGAGTTGTATAATCTATAGTTTCCAAATATTATTCCTATAGGTGCCACGCCGTACCCAGGTATAGCCTCGTTTGAGGACTTACAGAAGAGAATTAAACGAGGCTACAGGATGGAGAAGCCCGAGGAGTGCCCCACAGAAATGTACGGGTCACCTTTTTTTTTCATTTCTGAAATATATGTTCGAAAAGAGTAAATAGTTAGAGTATGAATAATTATTAGTGAAAGAGGGTTGAGGATCTGGCAACGGCATTAGAATAGCAAGTTTGACACGTTTCACTGACTTAAAAGTTTTGTTTCAATTGATACTTAAAAATGATATTACTTTTATAAATACCTGTGCCATATAACGTATGAATGATTTATATTTTTTTTATAAATCGTTGACCTGTTATGTGTAAGGTGTGATTTGCCACCGTCCCCTGTTATTTAAGACATACCCGTGATCAGCTACCGTAACTCTTGCTACATGTATCCCCCATCCCCACCCTCCCCCCGAAAAGAAGAAAGAAAAAGTTTTGATCCACCAGTGATGTTTCATTCATTATCATCTACCTTCCAGGTATAACATCATGCTGCACTGTTGGCAGGCAGAGCCACGAAGCCGCCCCTCCTTCAACCAACTTGTACAGACCCTAGAGCTTCTCAGCAAGGACGAGAAGTTTGCGTCGCTAAACGATGAATATGTTAGGCTGAGGACTACAACGTGCTGAGACTTGTTTGACCTATATTTCTGCATGCCAGTGACATATTGGTAGATCATTAATTCATCGGACAAAGTTTGATTCTGAAATTAATGGCGCCATATGGAAAAAATGACGTCAGTTTTATTTAAAGTGACTGTCGTCATAAGGACTGCCGTCATACGGTAAACAATGGAATTGTGGGATATCGATGCTATGGTTCGTTCGCCGTGCACACTGTGCACTGTGGACCCCATGGCTTTGACATATGCGCAGTTATCAGCAGCTGGCAAGACGTATACGATATTACACAAGAAAAGTTGTTTCGGGGATTTTCTATGACGTCCTTTGTGTTTTTTTCCAATTGTATAACAGTTTTCGGATGCCGAAGTGAATTGTTACATGTTAGATTGGTTGAACCTTGTATTAATCCCATCAAGTCGAAACACATATATTTGATCAATAAAACCGTATAGGATGAAAAGTAAAATAATTTTCATACGTCACCTAAGGCAAACACATTCTTTTTAATCATGTTGTATATATTCTTACTCATATAAATTCCTTCACCAATAAAAATATTGACTGAAATAGGCCTATTCATATTCATATTCATTTACCACAATTAGAATAAGTTATAAATAAAAATTTAGAATAATGGTTAGTCACTTTGTCATATTTTCGTGTTTCAAATAAATTTATATTTCATGCGTCGTTTATGTTTGTGTCATTGTGACTTAATAAATTTCTGTTGATATTTCGAAAGATGAAAATATTGTTATTAATCAGCTTAAGCGGCCGAAAAATCCCATTCTATTTTAAATAGAATGGGAATTTTATATATGCAGAGCTATTTATTTCATATAAAAAAGGCGTTGCGCAGAACACAGAAAAGCAGGTTGTCAGACGATTACGTTGTAAACAACAGCAGGCGTGTAAATCTTTTAATCTGATGAACTTGGTGAGAGTCCCCGAGAAGTTTCTTCGAACTACCTGATACGACAGTTTCATTGTCAACGCACCCAAGTTATCATTTAAAAGCGTTACTCATACCGTGCCATCCTGTGCCTTCCCTCCACGGGTCACGCTGGTTTTAAAGACTAGAAGGTTCAGTAGGTTTCCAGTAAAAGATTGCCTGAAGTGAAGACAAAGTGAAGATGAGGACGACCACAGAACGGAGAGTAAGTAAAGACATGTTTACTGAATGTGGTCTCGTTGTCATGCGCGTATTACGGTTGTTAAGAAAGCTCTAGACAGAAGGGCTATACAATGTCAATACTTCTTAGACCCCATTTCCACAGATATTTGATCGATCTATCCCCCTTGGGAGTCTCACTAGATTACTGTCAGCTTAGCCGGCTTAAATGTCTGTCCCGCCTACTAAAAGTTTTAAGGGGGTAATTAACTTCCGTGCGCGGTCGGCTGACAGCAATTTAGCGTGAACCCTTAGGGAGTTAGGTCGATCTACTTGGATCGACCTAAATCTCTGGGAAGGCGCTCTAATATCAATCGTCATGAAAGTAGGCCACATTATAAGTACTGTCAATAATTAACAAGCAATTGAATAGGAAAATAAAGTTCGTTGTAAATAGTGACTTATGGACACCACACCACAGTTATACGGCTATCTTTCAATAAAACAACCTATAACTATTTAAAAAAAAAACAATAAAAAAAAGCTGCCTGCATTTTCATGAGCAAATGTTAGAGAATGCATGCAATTGGGAACAAGGGAAAATAGAAGTCTCCGTAAACAAGGTGCAAAATTATTGATTATCTATATGTTATTGATTATCTATATGTGACCTTGCACATTTTTCAGTTGACGAAAGAAGACTGTATGATAATTGCTCTGTTTATACTCATTTTAGTTTCTGCAACAACAGGTATGTAAATTATTTTAACAAAGCGAGAGACTGACGATTTTTGTAAAAAAAAATATACATATAAAGAGTCTTATTTAAAAATCGCAATAAAAAGCAAGTGTCGATTTTTGTATCGACTATTTGACATAAGCGACTAATACATCGCTATCACAAATATGCAGTTCAGTATATTTTTCTTTAAAAGATAATAATATATTAATAGCTTCAAGTCAAACTGTTCGAATCATTTATTTATCGTATAACGGTGTTTAGTTCTCCGAATGGAATTTCGTTGTAGTGACATCCGAAGAAGGGACTTGTCCTTCTGGGACAGGTTGGGATAGAAACCAAGGGTAATTATATTCTGTATGATAAAAACGAGTATATTTGATTCCGTGTTATCAAACAATCGATATGTTGTGCTCTTACTAGTCGTGTGAACGCTTGGAACATCTTTATCTTGCAGGGTAAAAGATGTACACATACTCAAGATGTACACATACTCAAGTACACACAACAGCAAGTTAAAATATTCAAAAGTTTTATTTGTTATGGATTAAATTGGAATATAGCTATATCCATTTGATCATTTGCTGTTTTATAACGGCTAAGGAATTATCAATTAGTTAGTTCTAATTAGTCCAGATTGCTTAAATTATTTGTAGGCTGTTCATTTATCTGTCATTTATTACATACATGTAGTTAAATGGTGGATTACAGGTTCATTGCCGAACAATTTCAGTTACATGAACCATGTTGACTTAGTTAACTTGATTTCATTTTTGCATGTAGGCCTTCTTAATATTAATCAGACTAATAGCTATTATCTATCAAACTAAATTTTCACTATAATCACTATTGCTACAATCATTTAGGAGGTGCCTTCCGTGTGCCTGTTGTATACGAACATATTTCATTGGAATAAACGAAAATGAAACAAGAATTGCCCCTGAAAACGCCGACTGTGTGTCTCAGGCGACGGATGGCGACAAAAAATGTTTGTATGACCCTGGAGCCTTGGCCACTGAGTGCCCCGTACAAGCCACAGGTCAGTATCTTATTACTACAACTTAACGCTAAATACTTGGATAAATGTTTCTTAATGCGTTTGGAATTAATAAACTGCTCATGAAAATCATGAACTCAATATGCTTCATAGAAAAATCAGACAAATTTGCAGAGAAAATACATGATGAAAAGACGAAAAAAAGCACACATTTTCTAAATTAACATTGTGAGTGGTAAAAGGACATGGTCATTAACGAATCTAATGTATCCTATTGAACAGATATTTAAATCTTTTGTCGCACCCCTTCTACATACGATTCACATCCATTATGATTTAATCTACAATATGTACACTCTCCTATTTCAGGATAGCTGGTTCTGATAAGTATGGTGTTCAGTTGCCACATTAACCAAACCATGCCTATATATGTTGTGTTTTACTGGCATGTATGTTGACTTGTTAACGGGTCAATTTTCTTGCTGGTTACTAATGTATAATTCCCATTTGCTTGTTACACATGTACCATAGGCTGTTGTTACTACCTGCATCCTTTCCTCATGACACTTCGCTCAACTCTTTGATATAACATCGTTTCAAAAGTTCAAACTTAGTCATATTTGATACTGTTACATTCCATAACTGTCACTAGTTGAAAAGATGTGTGTAGGACGTCCTCTCGGCAAAATTTATGCCAGAGTGACCGGAATAATAGTCCTAAGAATTATGGTCCTAGGAATGGAGGTCATGGGTCCCATATGATTAGTACGGGTTAGAGTTAGTCGTAGTATTGGGGTTAGTATATGGGACGAATGACGTCTTCTGTGCCGGTGTGACAGGAACGCCGCTTAGAACTGGGGAAGGACACCGGTCTAAGCGGCGTTCCTGTCACACCGGCACAGAAGACGATTCCTACTTGTTTTAGACCTTGTGTTCATAGAAACGCAGGTCAAATTTTGAATTGCTTTTGTCTTAAGATATTGAGAGTAGAAACAACCATTTGTTATTTTATGCTTATAGTGAAGCTATACAATGCATGTGTCTACTAGTATGTACATGTATATATTAGATCCTTTAGATCCTACATCCAGTTAGCCACAAATTAATATTGCATTTTAGGTATAAGTCAGTGTCATTAATTTTTAATTTGCATGTGTGCATCTTGTCGCCCTTTACCTGAAAGTGAGCGAGATGTTGCGAGTAAATGATCAGTATACATGGTGTCAGATTTATAGCATACTACTTGTACTGCCAGGGCATAACAAATGCTCTCATGCAGATCTTTTTGACCTGCAATCTTTTGCGATATTGGTCAATGACAAACACTAGGTTTGTGGGAAAAAAAATAATAATCAGCCAGACAAGATTTCAGCAATGATACTACAGTAGATAAATACAATCAAGACGATGCATTGGGTCCATACAAACACACGATGCTTAACGACAAACCTTTGGTGTCATAAATACACACCCTATATACTGTATTGAGAGGCCCTCACACATGATCAGTAGAAGAACCATCAAGCAAACTTGTTATTGGTTATTGTTTCAGATACACCAATGACTCAGACCCAGCCTACAGGTACCCAAGTGACCATGACCTCTGAACCCGGAAGTAAGTCTCCTGTGAATTCTGGGAACAAAGTGGTGCAGTCCGTGATAGCAGCGATTTTAGCTGTTACGATGTCAATGGCAATGAAGCTATTCTAGAAAAGAGAAGAAAGGAAATTGCAGCTGCTGATTATTTAGGGAATAGTCTATGCAATTCCCTTTCTTGAAAACCACTTAACTCTACCAAAAATTAAAATACAGGCCTCTAAATTAAGAATCAATCATGTTTGGAACAAACACCTTCGGGCGCGAGCCATAGGTTAAGATAAATATTAGTCTGAAATTTATGTCATCATTTTAACCGTGACCCAAACATGGGCACCTCCTAATTTGAAGTCCACTTTGCTTTTTTAAGTATAATGCCGGTGATTTTACCACCTATAAACACAATTGCATGTACTGGTAGCTGATCTGTTCAGACGATTTTTAAAGAAATACAGGGTAAGTAGATTGTAAATTGAAACTGGATGGAAGCGTTGGAGCTTTCTCTAGAATCATATTAATTCTCTTTTATGGGTGATTTTTACGCTGTTTATATATGTGTGTTTCCTGACTACATGTAAATTTACAAAAATCGTTATATAATCACTTTATAAATGTATGCAATAGGTCAGTATTCATTTTGATATTTGTGCCCGATTCAAAAGGCCAGTAATTCATCTGTTCCAAAATATGCTCCAACAGATGAATTTTTGGTATTCAGTGGGCTTTCAGCACCCAGAATTCTTAATGGTGTATATAGTGTGCGTTTTAATTGGCCAGTAATTGCCAGTGGAAAGTACAATTGGTAGTAACTGACTGTTCTCAATTCCACGTTTGTTACAATTATGCCAATAACAAGTGCTTGCAAAAAGTTTTTCTCATATATTGTATATTTGAGTGAGTTATTTTAAATCGACATCTAATTCACATATTGTTGCGATGTGAACAGGTCTTGTGCTAATTTTTCTGTGCAATATTGTGCTTATTTTGTGTATATTGTGAATACAGTGACTTGATTAAAGCTGTTAAAATGGCATCTACGCTGTTGTGATGTATACATAAAGTATAGCAGTCGATTGCTCAAACAGACCGTACGTGTTACTGACTCAAACTATGTGTTGGGTCCCTACAAAGGCATAACAATGGTGTATCTTTCTGGTCCGCTTTATCGCATAATTAATGCCCATACCTCTGGCCGCCGTCTGCCATTTTCCCAGCATCATGAATGCTCTGACGTTCGTCCACTTCCAATGCAACAGCCTTATTATAATGTTGTTAATTGGCTGGTTATTTGGATGACATTAGCAATGCATACATGTTATTTACGTGATAAACAGAAAATTATTTACTATTCATGGGAAGGTGGTTTTGTTGGTACCAGCTGATTGGGCCTTGTGCATTTTAAATGTGTTTAGTCGTAATCCAAGCAGGCTGTATAACGTCATATTTTAAACATATAAAGCCTAATCACACAGATGAAGACAGCTAGAAGAGAATTGGCTTGTCCTATACTTAACGGTGTATATAAGACTCATTAAGAGGGTGAATCTGTCAAAATTGTTCCCTCTGTCATGGCTGCCTCCAGTTTAAAACATCTACACGTGATACTCTGGATTCTGGCATGGAACGCTGTGGATGGCTTTGAAACGCAATCTTATACGATCTCGCTAGGCCAAAAGGCTTTGGTATCTTATACGAGTGTTGTGAGGGTGTTGAATGTGATGTCCCTGCGCCAGTGTGCCCAGATGTGTTTACAGCACAATACAGGGGAGTGCACGGGGGCCAACTATGTCGCGGCAAGGAGGATCTGTGACATTGTGGTGAATAACGACAACGCAACCGTCACTCTTGATCAGAATTGGACGTTTTTGCGAGGTAATCTATCCCCCTATCTCTCTCTCTCTCTCTCTCTCTCTCGTGACAGTTGTCTGTAGTCCGCCAGGCTGTTACGATATTTACCTTCACTCGAGGCTCACTCAAAGCATGCCATTTCCGAATGTTGCAATCAAAATGTATTAGAGTGAATAAGAAGACGAGTTCGAATCTCGAGTTTGTTTTCACGTACGTGCGGCAATATAACATTGTCTTTCAAAATTGAACAGATGATCTGTCTACAGTTCAAAACCCAATCACAACGAAAGAAGATGAATTCTCATCAAATTACAGTGGCAGAAGAAATTTCCTGTACAGGCTGGAAGACCAAGAGGAATAAAACCACTAACGGGAACTACCTCATTGACCCTGACGGCATTGGAGGCGTCGACCCCTTCAGCGTATACTGTGACATGGCTGAAACGCCACCTGTCGCCCGGGTTCAACACACTTTAAGCAATGTGAGAGTTCACGTTACAGGTTATGAATGGAATTACAACCACACAACTTACTTTACAGGTACGCTACGTTTGTTATATATATATATATATATATATATATATATATATATATATATTCTACCTGTATCTCATTTGTAATGTCACTTATGTTTTTACCTCTGCCGGGAAGGTTATGTTTTCAACTGCGTTTGTTTAATTGTTTGCCACCAGACATACTCAGATCGTTATTGATGAATATTGGGTTACAATTTAAGTGATAAGATTTTGGTGATAATTCTTTCATTAATTATTTGATTGTTAGTTATTAGTAAGTTATTTGTCTTAGCGGAGGTCTACGCTCTCTGAGTGTTTCTTTAGTTTGAAAGTGTTTTGCAAAAGATAAACGAATAAATGGTTAAAAATGGTTAAAATAACAATAAATAAATAATTGAGGAAAATAAAGAGACCCCCCTATTTTACATCACAAATTCAACTAGCTGTGCGGTTAATGACTTGTTAAACGCCGACCACGTGCCTCCGTATAGAGGTTAAATTCATAATTGTTGTCATTTATTTTATCAACGTGTCTAGGCATTGAAGTGTCCCAACTGCGAGCGTTGACTGAGGCGTCTACACGTTGCAAGCAATACATCAAAAGAGAATGTAAGGGCAGCTTAACAAGGGGTCACAACTTTGTGACATCACGTGATGGAGAGATCCTGACGTATTTCGCGGGCAATGGGACGGTGGTGACGAACGGGTGCGCATGCGCACTGGACAATTCCTGTACAGGAGGTAAATCAAACACGCTCTATTTCTAAAATGAATATTGGTAAGGATAACGTGTTTAGGGGTGTTAATGACAATCGGATACGGGGGGTGGGGGGGGGGGGCGGCCTGAGAGTGGTCGATCCGTTATCTTTTCCAGCCGGTTCCCATTCTTTCAGCGGGAAAGCTGTTTTTTTTTAATTTGCTAATATTGTCAGTTTACTGTACGTGGATTAGGGGCTTATATATATATATATATATCATTGTAAGTGCAAGGAAATGGGACTTTTTTCTTTCTTGGATACTCAGAAATACAAAGAGTTATTATTACCGTCATCCGGTGTCAGTAGGACCCAGTGCAACTGATTTCACCCAGTTTTCTGCACGTACTCGCACACCCGTTCAACTCTTCAAGCCTTATGGACAATATTTGCCGCTTGCTAACGCGGGCCTTAATTTGGGAGCACAAACGACTGAAGCTACGAATGAAAAAAAAAAAAAAAAAAAAACGTACAGCAGTGAACCACACAAATATTTCAGATTTACGGTTTGTGGATCCTATCCCTGTGCTCGTGGCCACCAATTAATTTTACGTTGGGATTCTCTAAGGTTTGATGCGTTAATTTAGGCATTTGTGCTTACAAACTGAGCCTCGAGTTCGCAAACGCCTAATCCATACAGGAGGTATATCAAGCCATAAAAAAACTTAATTGGACAACCTAAATCCGTAGCCACTTTGAAGTCATGGCCAGTCCCAAATGGGACCCAGTCAGATCAGTGGCCCACATTGGTTGTATAAAAATAAGAACCACACTATAAAGACAATGTGATACTGGTAAATAGTGTCCAGAAAATTCTGAAACTCGTTTTTTTTTCAGGAGAGGTTTGCAACTGTAACATGAACGATGACACCTGGCGGTCGGACGAGGGGTACCTGACCAACAAGGACGTCCTACCCATAGCTCAGGTCACTGTGGGAGACACTGGAAACAGCGGTGAAGAAGCCTACATCACTGTGGGGGATCTGGAATGTGTTGGCTAAAAGAAAGGTTAAGAGGTGCCGAAAAGACGTTTTGAGTTCTGCGATATGCTAATGGCGCAACCATAGGGCAAGGGAGGGCTTATGGCTTTCACTTGTTGCGGTAAACATGTGAACGTAACGTCTCGGCTATTGATCTGTTATAAACTGGAGTGATATAGGTATAATTGTTGAAAATTTATGGGAAAAATATAAACTTGCTTTGTAAAGGTGCAGCGTGCAGTGTATGGGACAGTTGTAGTCTACTAACGGCCTTTCAAACGGTATTATTACCAATCAGTGAAGAGATCTCTTTTTTAATGATTCCTTTTCATATGTATGTATATTCAACTCAAAGCAAGTTTGCCCATTTTAAAATCACTAAGTCATGATCAAGGTTAAACAGGCATTGAAATTGTATGACGTTTTTTTCTGTTATTGTACATGTACACAATTAAAATAGAGGCAAACGTACGAGAAAGTGTATACAAATATAGCGGACTTCTTAATAGCTTATATTAGTACCTCGGTGTGCACTTATATCCATAATAACAAAATGGTGTAACGTGTAGGGTGCCTGTGTGTCTTCAGATTATCCTCACTTTCTTTAGTAAATCGTTATTCTCCAAATTTGTCAAATGTGCAATGCCGTGTTCTCTGTTTGAGTCAATACCGCTCAGTAGTTCAGTCAAGAATAAATCGTTGGTTGACACTTTCAGGGGTCGTAAAAAATGGTATTACATATCGACCCCTGCCTCTTAGTTGTCCTAAGTCAAGTAATAGAGACGAGGAAGAAACATTGAACATTTATAGTTTTATTTCAAATATTAGTTCAGTCTGTTCAAACATATATATAGACCAGACGGTATAGTATACGTTATTATAATTTCATAAGGTTTTTAGAAACAGCCTTTCCTTTCTGTTTACCACTCCAGATAAATCCATCGACCCCGCCGTCATTACCAGATATAATCCTATTGTCCATTTTGAACAAGTGTCCTTGAAACGTGCAGTAGGGTTTCAATTTCAGAAATACACCCATTGAGTAGTATGTGAAGTGTTGAACATTATACGCCCTGGCCAGTCTATTGCGCATTTGATATTTTTTATAATATAACCATGTGGCATTTTCTCATTAGCGAAAACCACTTAGTTCTCTAAAACAAACATTTGTCCATTATTGATTTTATCTTCTGTTGTAAATGCTTAGGTAATATTCAGGAGATTTCTTTTCCGATGTGTTTAAAACTAATTTTGACCCCTTTTATGTCTAGAAATATACAGGCCCTTTTCATATTACAAAAACCACGGGTAAACTTCCAGGGTTGAGAAGTATTAACAATTGATCTCCCTGAGAACGCAGAAGACTGCGGATAAAGCGCATGTAGACAACTAAAGCGTCGCTAGCTCATTTCCTTCATGGCGCTCATTTTGCGGATAATCCCATGGCTGTTTCTATGGACTCTAACATGGAATATTGCAGAGAATTTTCAGTCAAAGTCCTTTGACGTGTTTCGTGGGCAGCGCGTGAGTGGCGCTACCGGCTTTCAACGTTTGTTTGGCGTTAATTCTCAGCGCCAATGCGCCCACGTATGTCTTCAGCACGTAAATGGAACTTGCATGGCAGCGAATTACGCCGCTTCGCTAAAGATTTGCGACATATTGCCGGACGATGAAAACAAAACAATTGTACAGGATCAAGATTGGACTTTCATACAAGGTGCGTGCATTCATTTTCATTTTCCCCGTTCGTCTTTCAGTTCAATATGACCTGACCAATAAAAAAGGAATAAGCATATCAACAAACATTGTGAGTTGTGATACGCTTTCCTTTTCTTAGTTTATTGAATTACCGCTCAGGGAACACGGAATTTCTTTATTGAAATTTTTTATTTAAGTTTAAAACAAAGAATAAAGTAGCTTTGAAATATGGATACAGAAATTCTTTTTTGAATTATTGATGCAAACGTTGCGCATTTCGATCGCTTTAAAGTTTTCTATGTATAGTCGTAAAAAGTTGGATTTATTAGTCACAATATAGTTATAAACATGTATTATTTTTATTTCTTTTGATATATAAACCCTACCCCTTGTCTATAGCTTATTTTTGATTTGTCATATCTAGTTGATCAAAATTGTTATAGAATACAAAAAAATCAATATTTATAGGCCATTTGGAAGATAGATTTATAATGAGAAAAACACATGCCTAATTAATTATTTCAATTAAACACTTTACTTGTTCAATGGAAATAGAGTTTAAAGATTATATTCACCAAACATTTCACACTGGTGTACTTCAGTTGTGAACGAAGCATCTTGTACCAGATGGAAAGACAACAGAGGAAGAACCACGAGTGGTACGTACACGTTGAACCCGGACGGTATGGGCGGGGTGCCATCTTTCGACGTGTATTGTGACATGTCGACAACGCCCCCTATCGCCCGGGTGCAGCATAATGCCAGTGACCTCAGGACCCATGTGGTGGGATATGAAAGGAATTATTACGTCCACGCTATCTCTTTCACAGGTAAATAAAGTATTTTCTTTTTGTAGAGGTTGTTACGTTTTTTCCTTTAATTTTTTTTCAGAAAATTGTTGTTTTTCTCGGTTTTACATGTAATAAGAGAGATACATTGTCCCGAAATGTTATAGAATGTTAAAAGAGGCCTATTCGTCTTTGGGAAGATTTTACAGATGGCGCAGAAACATCATCTACCCACTATATTCTTAGGATCAAAATGTCGTTTTCAGGGTACCAGTAAATAGTCATTTTTAATGAGCGTAATATTAAAGACGATGTGTGGTACCAGTAAGTTTTCTATATATTTCAATTTAAGTTAATTAAGATTGAACATGACGAACACGTTTCCACGGCTGACGTATAATAGATTCATACTTGCTATTACGTCACTATTACGTCACAGACCTACCTGTAGTTTCCTACGTTTCACTTGCTGTGTTCAGGTTACCTCCCATCCCAGCTGCGACTTCTAACAGAAACCTCCACTAGCTGCCAGCAGTTCATTAAGAAGGAATGCTACCATAGTCTCACCGTTGGCTGGAGCACTGTGACGTCACGTGAAGGAGAAATACTGTATTACTTTGCTGGCAACGGGTCAGAGGTCACCAGTGGATGCGCATGCGCTTTTTTCAACAACACGTGCGCAGGAGGTAACTTTTTTTTTGCCGCCAATAGGTGTCAGCGTTAACTTTTAATCGACATCTCCGTTTGACATTTATCAATAAATCAACTTCAAGTACCACTTTTGAGCATGAAGAGGCAAATATTTCCCCGGGCTATTTTGAACGAAAGCCCCTTTACGTAAAGATTCAGATATTTAATATTGATTTGGCGCCTTAGAATTCATAGCATGATAGTTCTTTGACCAACATATAAGTGCAATGGTATTGTTTGTCGTTACGTACATTAAAATGTGGCATTTGTGATTTTTTTTTTTTTATATTCCAAAACACTTTTAGTAGACTGCCTTTCCAATTTTCACGTCAGCCATTAAAAAGGGAATAATCGTTCAAATAACTTGGCATATACAGAGTACAAGTTATTATTATTATTATTATTATTATTATTATTATTATTTTAAGTGGTGCATTCAATGACAAAACTTCACAAATGAATTTCAAATGGAACAAAGCAAAGAGGTCACATTTGAATACGGTTTTGTTATCATCTGCACGAGTGCCTATAGTTTCATGGACAATACTATTATCTTTCTATCGATATACAATATTTTCAGGGCATCTCTGTAACTGCAATGAAAATGACTTCGTGTGGAGGTCGGACGAGGGGTACCTGACCAACAAGACCATCCTGCCCATAGCTCAGATTACTGTGGGAGACACTGGAGGCACGGACGAGGAGGCCTACATCACTGTGGGGGATCTGGAGTGCGTCGATTAGGCCCTGTGGAATAAATGCGATAATGAATCGATCTTTTCAATGGGCAAAATTATCAGTCTTTCAGTTGCATAATTTCAGAATCATGAACATTGTATTTCTACTGGCATATACCACTTGTGGTTATTTTATTGCGTAGAATGGGTCGAACTTTAGGGAAGCCTGCTTTTCATCTTTGTAGCCACCACTCAGTAGGCATGCTCTAACTTCAATAATGTATATCTTTAAAAAAATAAAGATGCAAACGTCCCAATTTCCCCAACTGAAAAGATCGAGTAATTACTGTACATGTCCCATGTACGGGAGGTATTACGATGAGGATGTCATGATAAGAGTATGTCCCTCCCCTTCATATGCTGTATGTGACGTGGAACAATATATGAAATGGGACAAAAATAACGATACAACCTACTACTGTAATAGGTCATGGATAAATATATTTACACAGGGTTTTGTGTTAAAATAAGCCGTATGTAAATGCGTACAAGTTTCTCGTGTATAAATCACAGACGAGGGCTGCCTGCCCAAAATAAACGTACAATATAAGAATCATTCATATCCTAAGGCAGTGGATTCAGTTCAGGTGCGCGTCCTTCATACGCGTGGACAAAGACATACGCTCGGAAGATAACTCAAAGACTCAAAGTTGTACGGTCCAGTTAAATGTACCGCTCGATATGAAAAACGGCTAAAATGTGTGCACAGTTGTGACAGGAATGGTCGTCATAAGAATGGAAGTCCGGGGGCCCATATGATTAGCACAAGCTAGTGTTAGTCGAAGTAGGTATAAGGGACAAATGTCACCTGTGCAAAGTAATGCGAAACAGACTACGGTTCCTTTATTGCGGACTACCATTCCTGTCACACTGGCTGTACCTCATTAACATGCCTGCTTTCAGGGGCTGTCTTCATCTTTCACTACCCATATCAATTTCGTAACACGGACGTTTGGTATTTATCTTGTTGCTTAACAACAGAACACCAACTGGAAATAATGGGGACATAGTTAAAATTGCGTGAAGAACAACGGCGTTCTTCCATAGTTTATACGTCACCCCCGTTTTAGATCAGAACAAAACAATGCTAGCCTACATCTTATGTCAAAATAATAAAACAATGTCCTGCTAGATGTAGTAAGGACGACAATAAAGCGTGATGAAAACTATATCACGACTTGTGGTACATGTACTTGTTGAGTTTAAGAATTTGACAACTTTTTTCTTCACGATGCAATTAAAAAAAGTTTTTAACACCTTTTATCTGCACAGTTTGGTCGATTGCCCTAGATAGTAGCTGTTACATTAGTAAACTGAGTGTTCCTTGTTGAGACTCATACACTTTTCTGTGCAATGACGTACTTAAAACGCTGCAACATAACACAAAAGATAAGAAGTTCTGCTTTATTTTCAATAAAATACTATGTAACATTTCAGGCGTAATCGTATAAACACACACTTAACGTCTCGAAACCAGGAGTTTGGTTGGGTAACTGGGTCCCACTTCTCTGCTGCACCTCAATAAATGTAAGACTTGGTAATTCACCAAATAGACCTAACTTTTGGTTTCATTTTTATCCCATTCCACTGAAGCTGGTCCAGTTGACCGACTGGTTAAGTAACATCTGACAGTGAATCGCCGTTATGTCAAGTTGTATGGAGAGTTTTGGTTTACCAATGATGTCATGATTAATAAATATAACAATTGACAACAGATGTTGTGGATCATATATTAAGTAATTGTTGATTGAACAGGTCGTCCCCCTTCTGGATGAAAATATTTTTAATGAGAACAAACATTCCTCTGCTCTCCCATATTCTTCATAATTGGTGGGCATATCCAAATGACCAAATGTCACAGGCATTTGATAAAGAGGTTATTTCAGAGATTTGTTCTTTTCAACAGAATGTATGATTTTGATGAATTGCGGAGAATTAACCCTTCAAATCTTTGCATAAAAAGTAATTAATCTCCCATATTATTTTAATGTAATTTAGAAAGAAGGTTTAATAAATGTTTGCATTAATATAGTCTCATATAGCTGCTTTCATAAACATATTTAAGCAAACATATCTTATGGCAACCCAGTAGTCATTGAATAATTGGACATTTTGGCCACATCACTTTTTAAATGTTTTCTGTAAAACGAATGCATCTGCAGGTTCTATCCTCTTGTAATAGTTCTGTTTTCTCTCAACAATCTCAAATCCAAAATTTTCATAAAACTTGATTGCGCTATCATTATTGACTTGGACGTGTCTGGAAAGAAAAAAATCTGTATTCAACAAAAGAACATTTGTGGCAAGGGTCTCTGCTTATAATAAAAGAAAAATATCTACACAAAAAATTTAACATTTGCTTGGTATATAATTTTTTTCAAAAATGTTAAGGTCTTATAGACTATAAATCTACAAGTAAAAATCAATCTAATCCTTTCAGCTGACTTACAAGTAAACATTGTCAAAATTTCCATCCTGCTCACAAATTTTCAGTACATGTTCTAGCATTACAGTACCTAAAACATTACATGTAAATAAATAAATGCATGTAAAATGAGTGGTTTTACTGCTACTCTGAGCCTTATGCACTTCGTCATATTCAAAAACTACGGCAATGTATATCTAGAACTCTATGAAGCAATGTATGGGTTTTACTATATGTGTTTAATATATTAACCCACTCTATATAATTGGTACTAATAGGTACAAATAATAAAATGGTATCTGTTTTATGATGTTTAATGATATGGTCATTCTTCAATCACGCATTTAAAATAAAGTAATAGAAAAAATGTTTACTTCATGTATCATAATACGTATCAGAAATAAGCAACTCTTAAAAAATTACGATGATATTTTGGTTTCATTTCCATACTGCTCAGTATTTATTCTCCTTTATCACATGTTTTGTTGGATGTGCCATTCCCATGCATACCTATTCCATATCTCCTATAAGGCGCTAAGACTCCCAGAGTCATTATATATAACCTGCGCTGGTTTTCTGAGACATCTATCCTACAACACACAGCTCCTACCACTATGTCATTGAAATATGCTGGAAAACAAAATAATCACAGGGACATAACAAATATTATGTTTACATGAAAATTGATCACTTTTGTAAGAAGCAAGGAACATTAAGCATCAGTGCCACTCATGAAGGTTTTGTGAAAGCTCCAAAATCTAATCCTGGTTTGAAATACCATATTTCTTAACAGTTTAATAAAATTTAAACAATGGGATAGTAAAAGAAAAAGCTTTATTGCCTTATATACATTGAGATATTTGCTGCAATAAGAAACAATTTCTATTATCAAATTGTGGTGTGTGGATTAGAAATATTCAAAAATGTCTTCTTTGAAGAGCCAGCTTACCTAGTTTTGCTAATTCTCCAACTTCTAGTACATCTTTGTAAAACTTGTCATTGTAAGAAACTGGAAAGACCACTTGGTTTAGCTTCTTCAGCTGCTTGATATTGTGATGAGTAACCTCCCCTAACTCTGTGTTGCCTCTGTAACAGAAAAGAATAGTTTATGCATTAATTCGGACTATCTAACCTTCCGACCAATGTACCTTCGGGCTATTTCTAGGGCCCCATCTTTAGAGACTACAGTGAAACCTCCAAGGTCTGAAAAGGAATCTCGATTTACTCATGTAAACACAATAATGAATATTCATCGGCATCAACGGCACCAATCCCAAAGTAACAGTGCTCATCGCACAAAAAAGGAGTCAATACGTTGTCTTGTTAAAACTAAATCGGCCCAAAAGTGATGACTGATTTCGAACTGCCTCAATCGTCGTTCATTTACGCATGCTTGACAACCGCCCTGCCACAAGACAGTGCCAGTTGCGAAATTAGGTGCCATCCTTGTCGGTGTGTTGTCGTATAAAATAACAGGTTAAGACGGTGAGTTAATTAAGAAATGCCTTTAAGCACACATACTATCAATACAAGCTTTTGCAGTTTACGTACCGCGTCATTTTGTCTAATTATTACCGCGCTCTCCGCACGAGGATCACCTAAATAAAGTAATTGTATGTTATGCCTTTAGTTTTGTAAATTTGAATCATATTGAAAATCTTCAAAGGGTAGAAAATATAGTCATGTTTCTTGTTTTCGATATGTATCTAATTCTATATTTTATAATTATATTACATGCGTTGAAAATAATTTCGTAAACATTATTTGAAACTTCCAGAACAAAATCCAAATGCGAGGTAGCTTTGCTTATACTTTATGCTTACACTTCCGGTCAAGGTGAAAAACTAAGAAACAGGTACGATAATATCACTATTTAAGAAAATGTGTTGTATTTGCGTCAAATTACTGCACTCCTCTCGGTTTAATTTTTCAAAATTTAATTATTCTAATAGCATTGTATACCAATTACATTGATAATGTTTTGGTATTTGTTTATAAAACTTGGGCATTGACACAGTTAAGCTAAGCATGACCAATCTCAGGCCGGCTACTATTTTCTTGCGACTGTTTATTGACTATTTGCTATTTATCTAAGGTGAATAGTAAGGAATGATACTAAGTAAAAGTAGTAGCATGGCTCTCTATCCAAATTCAGACTGGTATGTGCAGCCGATACTAGTACTAAACTGGGGTCTAATTAATATTAAACGTCTTCATTAAATGGCTATACAGACTGAATCCTTCTAAAAACTATTGATCTGACTTTTTTTGTTTATTTTTTACAATATGCCCAGGAAAATTAAGTCTCATATCTCCATAGATTAGTTTGCCAGTGCAGTTATGCTTAAGGCAACTTTGAACAGCAGTTAGACAGCAAGTCTGAACTAGTACTCCAGTCTTTTCTTACCTTAAATTTTATTTGGTTTGGGTAGATGACTTTACCTTAGCTTATAACTTAAAAGTGTTAACTTGCTTGAACTTGGTGACAGTCTGACATACCAGGTACTGACAAATTAATTACCTCTTGCATCAATAACCGAGTTCCAAAATTACTGAACCAAAACTTTAATATGAACCACAAAACTACCGAGGAATTTGTATAAACAGCTGTTTAGGAAAACTTTTCACTTCAATTCTAAATACCAGGCTTCTCTCCTACATCGAAGAATGTGAATCTCTTTCTAAAGAACAAGCAGGGTTCCGCCCTACATATAGAACCTCAGACAATATGTTCATTCTAAACAGCCTTATTAACCAATTCATCAATAAGAATAATAAGTTATACGCATGTTTTATAGATCTTAAAAAAGCTTTTGATAGCGTGTGGATTGAAGGTCTATTCCTCAAAGTATTAAAACAAAAAATAGGAGGAAACTTTTATAGAACAATAAAACACATGTATCAAACTACAGAGCTGTGTGTCAAAATTGGCCAAAGACGCACAAACTACTTTAAGACAGATATAGGAATAAGGCAAGGTGACAGCTTGAGTCCAATGCTTTTTAATATTTACATAGATGATATGAAAAATGTATTCAATAGCACATGTGATCCCGTAAAAATTAATGCCAACACTACAATCAGTCACCTTTTATATGCTGATGACCTCGTTATTCTATCTAAATCTGCAAAGGGCCTACAAAAAAGTCTTGACAATCTGGGGGACTACTGCAAAAAATGGAAGCTCACAGTCAATACCAACAAAACGAAAGTAATG